GCCGGCGGCGGCGTCCGGGCCGCCGCCTCCGGCGCCTGGGCCCGCCGGGCCCGCGGCGGCGGGGAGGGCCCCGGCTTCGAAGTTGTAGCGGACGCGCTGGATCCTGCCGTTGAGGATGTCGATGCGGTCCATCTCACCAAAGGGCATCACGCGGATGGCGCCGGCGGCCTGGAGGGGAGGGGAGCGGGGGCGGTCGCAGCGAGGGGGCCGTGTGGTGCTGCATGCGCCGGCTCCACGCACCAAAGCACGCTCCTCTCCATTCTCCCATATCCCAAGCATAGAAGGGGCCGCCGGCACAGCAACATGCCCTCCCATTTCATAAGAGCCGGCAGGCGCTCATGCAGGACAGCAGGGCGCGGGCCGCCGCTGCGGCGTAGCAACTGCTGCTCTGCAGGCGCACACGCGCGACGCACACCTGTTGCTGCCCGGGGCCCCCGACGGCGCCCTCCCCCTTGACCCTGTCCACCAGCTTCAGGGAACGCAGTATGTCGATGGCCGTCAGCAGCCGCGCCTTGAAGCCTCGGTCAAAGATCTGTCAACAGACGGTGCCGGTGAGAGGGACCATGGGGCTCAGCAACCCGAGAGGGACGTGCGGCGGACGAGCCGCCACCGTCTACACAGGCCAGTTGCACGCCAGTGTTTTGTGGCTTCGCCTGCCATGCCTCAAGGACCTGTGGGGATGTGTTTCCTGCCCCAGCCTTTGTTGACACCCAGGCCTCTGGCATGGCCAGTGCCTCCGGCCCGCGGCCCACCTGCGCCTGCTCGGCCTGTGTGAGGTCTTCTATGCGCGTGCCCTCCAGCAGCAGGTCGATCAGCCCTGGCACGTCGTGGCTCGTGCCAGCCAGCTGCAGGGGAGAGGAGGAAGGAGAGGGGTTCGCAGGCAGGAGCGTTTCAGGGCAGGTTGTCGAAAGGCAGTCGGTGGTAACACCAGAGAATGTCAAGCCGGGAGGGGTTGGGGGCAGGAGGGGTTGAGAGGGTTTAGAGCAGGAGGATTCTAAGCCGCAAGGATGCTCAAGGGGTTGTGTGCAGCATGTTTGGGGTCAATGTGGGGGCGAGCCACGTTTGATGCGGGTGGGTGTGACAAGGGAACCTGAAGCTGTTGCAGGTGCGAGCATGCTTCACGCAAAGGTAGGTGATTGCGTGTGCCGATGCACTCGCAGGAGATCCTGGAGCCTGAAAGTGAGCCTGGCCAGTGGGACCAGCCAGCGACAGCGGAGCCACCCAAGGGCCTGCTCCATTGTACGGCAGCCAGGCCCCCCATTTCGCCCGACACAGCCGCGGCGTGCGCGCCAGAGGCTGCCATGCCTAGTTACTACAACCCGTGCCGGCGGCCCGCACCTGCAGCGCCTCCTCCAGGGTCATGCTGCTCCACAGCTGAGAGAAGGAGATCACGTAGCGCCCGTCCGCCTCCGCGCCGCCCTCCTCCTCCGTCGCTCCCTCTGCGGCTGCCGCGCCGCCGCTGCCGCCGTCCGGCCCGTCGCCGCCCGCCGCGTCCTGCGCGGGCGCGTGGCCGGCGAGGCCCACGAGGCGGCAGAGCAGGCCGTGCAGCAGCTTGGCGCGCGTGAGGCGGGCGAGGATGAAGCCGTTGTCGGTGAGGGCGGTCTGCGGCGAGGAGTGGGGGCCGGGGACGGGCAGTCGGCGGGGCGGACGCGGCAGTTGTTGGCGGCGGCGGGGCACGCAATGACGATCGCAGATGAGCATAGGCCGTCAAACAGGCAGGAACGCCGGCTGAGGGGTGACCATCAATGCGCTGTGGTGGCATGCGTGGTGCGCCGTCTTGCAGCAAAAGCACGTTGTGCTGGAGGTGATGACGACCACCTCAATCCATACCCGCTCGCCCCAAGAAGGCAACCTCTCACGTTAGATCCGGACGGCGGCAGATTGATGTTGCGCGGCCCCTCGTCGCCGCTGCTGCCCTCCCCGCTTGCCTCCACGCTGCCGCCCTCGCTCCCGCCGCCCACGCCCGGCTGCCGCTGCGCCTTGCGGCGCTTGCGGGCGCGGCCGCGCTCCCGCTCGTCCTCGTCCTCGCGGATCATGTAATGCGGGCGCCGCAGGGAGGGGTCCGACTTGTAGACGTCCGCCGACACCAGGCCCCCAACCTCAACCACCGGCACAGGCGCCGCGCCCGCCGCGGCAGCGGCGGCAGAGGGCCGCGCCTGAAGGGGAGCAGCGCGCAAGGGGGGCATGGGAAGTGGGATCGCCCCCGTCTGCCGCTGCGACGCATGGGGTCGCACGGAACCGCTTTTTGCCCCGACGGCTCCAATGCATCCCAGTCACAGGCGGTCTACGCGGCCTGCATTCTGGTCCGACCTCCAGGCCACCAAAGCGCCCAGCATGCCTGCGAACGATGCTTCGCCGTCAGCGCCTGAAAGTGCGCCTCCACCTCCCGCTCCAGGTCAGGGGTCACCTCCAGGCCTGGCGCCACCACAAAATCGATCTGGGAGGGAAAGAGCGGAGATGTAGAGAGGTCGAGGAGCAGCTTGTGAGGCCTGGACATGCGGGAGCGTGTGTGTGTGTGTGTGTGTGTGTGTGTGTGTGTGTGTGTGCGCATGTGCGTACAATGGGGGTGTGCTAGCTGTTGGGCTTATCCCAAATGTGATCGCTCACGAGGTGGCAAAGAATGTGCGATAAAAGTATGGCGCGATTACCAAGCTGCCCATGGCAGCCGCAACGAACGAGGCGGCGGTCGCTCACATGCCGCGCCAGCTTGCCCTCCGCCATGGGCGCCCACTTGATCTGGTGCGCCGTGCCCAGGCCCCGCTCTGCCATGTGCTGCACAAGTCGCGCGGCGGTGGTGTTGTCCAGCACCTGAGAGCGGTGTCATTGCGGATGCAGGTTGACGCGGGCCCAGAGGCATGGCTACCGCTGCCGCGGCTGTCGGGCAAACACAGGGCAGGGGGCGGCGAGCCGCAGCTGGTCCGTAGAGGACCACGTGGGGGCCACGCGACAGGCGGCCACGGCAGCGGCAGCAAGCTGTGCAGGCACGCGCGCGTCCGGCTCTTGGCGCACGCGGGTGGCGCAGGCCCCGCCGGTGCGCGCCTGGGGCGGGGGCCACTGGCCGCGGGCGGCCTCCTCTTCCATCACCACGGACCGCATCTCCTGAGGGGCGCACGGGGTTGTTGGGTGTAAACAATCTGGACAGAAGAGGGCGTCTGGATGCGGCTGGCACCCTCACAGGCTGGCAGGTGGGTATGGACCGTATGATGCGGTTGGGTCTGAATAAGGAGCGCCGAAAGCACGCTCCCACAAGAAGCTGAGAGCGCCGGGGCGGGGCTCTGGCGCATTGCAG